CGGAAGTAGAAATATTTTTAGTAGAAACAAAAGAGTCCTTTAAGAATTCACTTGTCTAATGTAGAATGCGTTGAAAAACTAGCATATTTAAATGATATATTTTCATGCATTAACGATTTAAACTTAAGTTTACAAGGAACTGCAATAAATGCGTTTCATTCATTTAATAAAATAGATGGATTTAAGAAAAAGAATAATTTTTCGTTGGATAAGGTTAAAAATAATAATATTGATATATTTAATAATTATTCTGAGTTTGTTACTTCACAGCAAGATATAAACTTATCAAAATTAAATATAATCATTGAGCAACACTTACAATTCTTAAGTAATAGTTTCGAAAAATATTTCCCATCTGAAAAAACCACATGTGAAAGGAATCTGTGGATAACAAACTCTTTCATAATATATGACAGTAGTAAATTAGATTTAAGTAACAGAGAATATGAAATTTGTTCAGATATTATGTTAAAAACTGTTTTCAACAATGTCTATAGATAAATTTTGGATCAAAACGAAAAATTAATATCCATCTCTATACGAGAAAGCGATGAAAATGTTAGTCTCCTTCGCAACATCATGTTTATGTGAAGCGGGATTTTCAGCTATGATCGGCAATAAAAAAATAAATTTAGGAATAGACTTTCAATAACTTCACCGCTCGGACTCAGCTTGACTAATTTACAACCCACAATTAAAATTTAATTGAAGAAGAGCAGCAGCAATCTTCTCATTAGCAATGTACCAAATAAACAAAAATTTTAAAGTTATAATTTTTAGTAATCACAGGATTGATTTTTTCTGTTGTGTTTTCTACCTATATGCAATAAATTTAGTGATTTTTTAAATAATTTTTTACGATTTTTTGTTGTAATTTTTGTCAAAGATTTATTTATATAAAATAATTATATTTACATTTAAATATTATTGTAAGTAAATGATGATAATAATTTTACAACTTACTTCTGTAGTAATTCTTTAATATCTAGTAAAAGTTTTTGTTACAACACCACCGGTCCGCGGGCCAAAACAGGTTGAGAAACGCTGGTCTAATATCTTAAAAATGCTGTCTTTTATCCACAATAGATCTTTTATAACCGATATATTTTCGTGTGTTTTGAAACCGTGTCTTCTTTTATGTGTTTTTATCGTCACGACTAGGTGCATAGATAGAGACTAGGCATTTCCACATCATCTTTATTCGGAATATCCTATAGCAGTGATTCTTAACTGGGGGGCGGCCCCCTGGGAGTCCGTAAAAAGTTTGTCGGGGCCGCCAAATTATTCAAAATTTCCTTCAGAATATAATAAAAAGAAAATTGATGTGTAACCGAATATCGTATTGGAAAGTGAAATAAGAAAGATAAAGTTTTCCTATTTAGTTTTTTTAAATTTATTTCTTATCTCTTCCTACATACAACTTTGTTGGTACAGAAGAAATAAATGCAAATATGCTACTTACACCACAGTATTTACTTCTTTTATTCCAAAGTAATTCTAAGTAACTATTAATGCTTGGAATCTTAAAAATAATTATGATAAATTGTAGGCTTAGTAGTAGGCAAAATCTTTACCACAAGTTGTGGGTGTTTTAGTATAAAATATTTTCCGTTTCATAAAGTAATTAGCACTGAACTGTTTTATGACTTTTCTTGAGGTGAGAAATCGGGGGTTGAAGTTCTATTTCTAGCTAACACACTTTCTGGTTTAAATAGCGAATATTTTAAGTCTAATATATAGTATTATAACGAATTTTAGAAGAATCAAATAGAATAAAATGATGATGTTAGAACGTCATTTCCGATGTTATTAGGAAGTTTCTATTTTGGCGGGTAATTTTCAATGTTATGCTTTGGAAAACGTGCTTATTCGTCTAAATAGCGTCAAATAACATAAAAAAAGAAGTGAAAATAACGCTGAAAAACCATGAAAATAACGATTTTTTACATTTTAGGTTCTGATTGGTATAGTCCAGTGGTTTCCAATTAATTTTTCCTGCGTACCACTTCAAGAAAGAGCTCAAACTCGCGTACCCCTTGTAGCAGAAATTCGTATTAATACATACTAATATTATAAATTCGAAGGTAATTTTGTCTGCTGTCTGTCTGTTATTTTTTCACGTCTAAACCGCCGAACAGGTTTTAATAAAATTTGGCACAGAAATAGCTTACACGTTGAAGATGGACACAGGCTACATTTTACTATGAGAAAATATCTTACTCCCACGTGAAAATTTGATATAGTGCGGGCGAAGCTGTGGGTAGACAGCGAGTGATAAATAGAATAAGTTTTTTTTACATTTATTACCTTTAAAATACAATTCTAATAATGAAAATAACAGTTATTTAATTTTAATGCGACAAATGTGCACAATTTTCTTTGCACAACTTTGTAAAATCTGGATGCTTTTTGGTCAGCTTTGATCTTCAGTCATCTTCGAGTCGAAGTCGGTGACGATCATTGGCGTAGCCAGAGTTTTGTTATGGGGGGTCTAGTAGAAACCAGCCTGACACAAAATTGAATTATTTCAAATTATTGTTCATTAAAATGAAATTTCCATACAAATCGACAATAATTTAACACACATGAAAACTAAACATCGTCACTGACGATGTTTAGTTTTCATGTGTGTTAAATTATCGTCGATTCCTATGGAAATTTAAGTCGATTCCTAGTTAAATTATTGTCAGTGACGATGTTTAGTTTTCATGTTTGTCATGGCCGAAAATCCGCTCTCGCAGAGGTATGTTGCGCAAAATGGTAGTAAATATTTTATTGCTGCTTCACTGACATTATAATAATGATAATTGTACGATTTTTGTTTCTTACGTAAGAATTTAGGTATTGTCACAAATGCATTTTTTTAAAAATGAAAATTCGAGAATATTTTTAGTTATAAATAAACGAATTTGTGCATTCCACATCATGTTGTAAATTGCCGAACTTTTGATGGCCCCCCATTATTTTTTTAATTGTTTCATCTTATGCATTTAAATTTTAAATCGACCGATTTTAGATCGCCGCGCGTACCCCTTCATGCAATTTCGCGTACCCCCAGGGGTACGCGTACCATTAATTGGGAACCACTGGTATAGTCGAATCTTTTCTGAAAAGAGGCTTATTCGTCAACCTAATTTCATTCAAACTAGAAAATAACAATCAAAGTTCAAAAAGGAATGTACAAAAACTATAACAACCAATTACAGTATTTACAACAAAGTCTCTCCACAGACTAACAATAGGAAAAATTTTTAATTACGTTGGATCAAAAAAATTTATAGCTGGAATAGGGTCATACGACTAAAAGAAAGCCGATTGCACTGAAAAGTTTCGGATTTAATAATTATTTCAAACCGCATCAAGTCATAAACTATCCGTGATTATCAACATATGCAAAGTAATTAGACTCCTTGTGTCAACAAAGAGGGTTGTAAAATGGTCTGGCCCCAGGTCCGTAAAGTTAATCTTAACCCAGCCCTTCTTCAGAAAAGGTTGTGCATCCCTGGTTTTAGCATCGACTTTGGATCGAATAATAGTGCATTTCATTTGTGTGTTTAGTTTTAATTATTTATAATTAACCCATAAAAATGAGCAAAAAACAGAAAGGAACGTTAGAAAATTTTTTTAATATATGTAATCGCGGACCGGGACCTTCAAAAAGAAAATATAGTGACGAAAATCCTAGTGAAAGTTCCGATGGTGATGATACAGTGAAAAGTGCAACGGAAAAAACCACAAGTCCTAAAACTAAAGGCATGAAATTAAATTAGAAAATACGATCGTGATTATATCAAATATGGGTTCGTAAGCATAGAAGTTCAAGGAATTACAAAACCACAATGCGTCATTTGCGTTGTAGTTCTCTCCAATGAAGCAATGAAACCGAATAAATTGTTGAGGCATTTAAATTCTAAGCACGAACAATATAAAAACAAAACGAGGGATTTTTTTATAAGAAAAAAAGACGAATTAAAAAATCNACAAAGAGGGTTGTAAAATGGTCTGGCCCCAGGTCCGTAAAGTTAATCTTAACCCAGCCCTTCTTCAGAAAAGGTTGTGCATCCCTGGTTTTAGCATCGACTTTGGATCGAATAATAGTGCATTTCATTTGTGTGTTTAGTTTTAATTATTTATAATTAACCCATAAAAATGAGCAAAAAACAGAAAGGAACGTTAGAAAAATTTTTTAATATATGTAATCGCGGACTGGGACCTTCAAAAAGAAAATATAGTGACGAAAATCCTAGTGAAAGTTCCGATGGTGATGATACAGTGAAAAGTGCAACGGAAAAAACCACAAGTCCTAAAACTAAAGGTATGAAATTAAATTAGAAAGTACGATCGTGATTATATCAAATATGAGTTCGTAAGCATAGAAGTTCAAGGAATTACAAAACCACAATGCGTCATTTGCGTTGTAGTTCTTTCCAATGAAGCAATGAAACCAAATAAATTGTTGAGGCATTCAAATTCTAAGCACGAACAATATAAAAAAAAAAACGAAGAATTTTTTTTATAAGAAAAAAAGACGAATTAAAAAATCAAAAGACGCTCATAAATGTGACAACTAATAAAGATAAAGAATTATTAAAAGCTTCATTTATTGCAGCTCTTCACGTTGCTAAAGCAAAAAAACCATTTACAATAGCCGAAGAATTATTATTTCCATGTTTAATATTTGTAAAGAACTATTTGAACCATTTGTGTCAAACAAAATTAAGGAAATACCTATGCCAAACGATACAATTTGTAATAGGACTATATTGATAGCTAATGATATTCAGGAGCAGTTAACTATCAACATTAAAAATTCTCCTTGGTTTTCATTGCAAATCGATGAATCTACAGATATTGCTAACAGGAGCATCTGCTTAGGATACGTGCGATTTATTGATTATATAAAAATGGATATATCTGAAGAATTTTTTTTTGCATAGATTTAGAAACAGATACAACAGGTGAGAATATATTTAACAAAATTGATTCATTTCTGAATACTAATGGCTTACTCTGGAAAAACTGTGTTGGAATTTGTACAGATGGTGCTGCCTCTGACTGGTTGTTATAAGGGCGTTACATCAAGAATAAAACATATCGCGCATGAAAATATAATAACTACTCATTGTTTCATTCATAAAGAACAATTGGCTTCCAAAGGAATGAGTACAGAATTGAACGAAGTTATGATGATTTCAGTAAAACTTATAAATTTCATAAAAGGAAATGCATTAATTCAAGGTTATTTTCAATTTTTTGTAAAGAAGTTGGTGCAAATAATACTTCTCTCCTGTTTCACACGGAAGTGAGATGGCTCTCACGAGGAAAAATCTTTAATCGTTTATTTGAATTGAAACTGGAAGTTAAACTTTTTTAAAAAATAAAAAAACCAGTCTATCAAGCTATCTTGATGACAATAATTGGGTTGCTAAACTGTCGTATCTGGCGGATATTTTTACAATTCTAAATCAGTTGAATCTATCTATGCAAGGATCTCAATCTCATATTTTTAATATGTATAACAAAATTGAGGCTATGAAAATGAAATTACAAAGATGGATCCAAAGAATAGATTCAAATATAAATAAAATGTTTCCATTCTATTCACAATTAATCTCTGATTCAAAATTTCAATTTGAGAAACAAAATGTAAATTTCTTAATTAAATGTCATCTCTTAAAATTAATTGATAAATTTGATAAATATTTTCCTAATGATNAGATATCTAGTCTTACAGTTCAAAAATAATGTTCTTTAGGTGAACTAAATAAAGAACATTATTTTTGAACTGTAAGACTAAATATCTGCATCCATAATTTTCCAGTATAATAAGTCCTGTTAATATATAGAAAGTACTAGTATACAAAATAAATTATAAACTGATGTATTTGACTTTGCTGGGGAGAGAGAGGTGTGCCTTGCATACTCCCGTAAATTCGCCATTGGCTATGCATAAACTTTACTGTTGAAAACATGAAGAGGAGACTACTAGAACATATATCTTTATTTCAGTAATTAAGTTAAAAAAACTTACTTTACTGTGAGCTCCAAATTCTGTCTATATAGATTTTCACTCCGAGCCTTTGTATGTNGGATGCAGGAATGAACACAGTATACTTCATGTAATTTTTTATTACCTGATGTATTCGACTTTGCTGGGGGGGAGAGAGAGGTGTGCCTTGCATACTCCCGTAAATTTGCCATTGGCTATGCATAAACTTTACTGTTAAAAACATGAAGAGGAGACTCTACTAAAACATATATCTTTATTTCAGTAATTAAGTTAAAAAACTTGCTTTACTGTGAGCTCCAAATTGTGTCTATATAGATTTTCACTCCGAGCCTTTGTATGTTAAAACTATTTTAAAATTTACCATTGGCTATGCATAAACTTTACTGTTAAAAACATGAAGAGGAGACTCTACTAGAACATATATCTTTATTTCAGTAATTAAGTTAAAAAACTTACTTTACNTTAAAAAATAAAGCAATAATAAAAAAATCAATTTATTATAGATAATTTAAAAATAAATTATTATTTAAATAAATGGGGGTCACAAAAAAATTGTGAAATATTTGGTGGGCCGCAAGTATAAAAAAGTTAAGAACCACTGTTTTATAGGTCGATGCGCGTTTCGGGCATAAGCTGCTCATCCGTCGGCACGACTTCCGGGATTTCTTGTAGGTGGTGTTAACACGTATACATTCCGTTTAAAATTACTTACTTACAGTTAAAATACCATTATAGTTTAAAATATATTCATAATTAAAAGTAGTATTACAGTTAAGGTTTCTTGACTTAAAAGTATGTGCTAGAAGATGTTCGATGTTAAGTCAAGAAACCTTAACTGTAATACTACTTTTAATTATGAATATATTTTAAACTATAATGGTATTTTAACTGTAAGTAAGTAATTTTAAACGGAATGTATACGTGTTAACACCACCTACAAGAAATCTCGGAAGTCGTGCCGACGGATGAGAAGCTTATGCCCGAAACGCGCATCGACCTATAGGATATTCCGAATAAAGATGATATGGAAATCCCCAGTGTCTAACTATGCACCAAAGTCGTGACGATAAAAACGATATATTTTCATTGATTTCATCTTTCATTTTAAGAAATATTATTATTTCCATAAAAGCAGACAGCCCTTCAGGACATTGGCAATACAACCAACGAACTTCCGTGTAATAAGGAAGATCTACGAAAACGGATTCTAAATCTTTAAGAAACGAAATAAATTGGCCATGGTTAACAGCTCTCGGTCGAATAAATTGACTGTCTTTCTAACTGTTTTAAATACTTCGTCCATTTTTAATAATCTTAAACACAGAATTTGTTGATGAATAAGGCAATGGATAGCCCTGATTTTCGGTTTATCTAGATCAGTGTTTCTCAACTTCTAACGAATCGTTGTTCCCTTCAACTTAGTATCGCCCCCTTCACTACAAAATTCCGATACCAACGGAAAAGGCTAATGACAAATTCGTACAGCATTGAATAGACTAGTTACTAGTATAATGTTATTTGTTTAATTATTGTACGATATAACGAATAAAATATCTAATTATTCTTAATATAATGTTTTACTATAACGCNAATTTTTTATTCATCTGTATTAATTTTTTAAAATTAATACAAATGAATTAATACATGAATTAATACATATTTTAAAATTCAATTGCTTTGAAATTTTTGTCTGATGATTTATGTAATAATACTCTAAATCAGTGTTTCTCAACCTCTAACGAATCGTTGCCCCCTTCAACGTAGTATCGCCCCCTTCACTACAAAATTTCGATACCGAGGGACAAGGCTAACAACAAATTCGTACAGCATTGAATAGACTAGTTACTAGTATAATGTTATTTGTTTAATTATTGTATGATATAACGAATAAAATATCTAATTATTCTTAATATAATGTTTTACTATATCGCCCGAAAATTGTTTTTTGCCCCCCAAAATATAAATTGTTGCTNGCCGGAAAAGTAAAAATTATCGAATACATATTTATATATTACTTAGAGGAGTCTTATTATATTATATTATATATTCAACGTAAGAATTATTATATCAGTAAGAAAAGCAAAAATATAGAACCTTACCTACTGAGAATCTTCCGTTTCTTGTTTTAGGGCATACGTATTTGCTATTGTGCTTCTCACCTGGAGGCCGAGGGACCCAAACTGTGCCACTCTCATCGCTTGAAAAAATTTTTTCGTCGGAAAACCTCACAGTTTCCCATTCTTTCGTCCAATGGAGATGCTGGTAGGCAAAGCCAAAACGGTCGACCATGTTGCTGTTATTTAGGATTTGTTTTGGGGCAGCCCTTCTGCCCGGTAAATTGAACTCCCTTAGTCTAATAATATAATAAAATATTCTTAATAAAGTTTTATTTATAAGTTNTTGAAGTTCATCTTGTCATTATACAAGAAGTAATTCACGTAAAATATGAACGAATAACGAAACACGTTAAATGCAATAACGTAACTTATGTTTTGGAATGGAGCATTATTTGTTTGCGTAATGAGGACGCAAAAAAATTTCGTAAAAATTTTGAATTCAATTGTAATACAATTTTTAAAAGAAATATATTGCTTTTAATTAATAATTAATTGCTTTAAATATTTGTACAAGGTTGTACAAGTGTACATGACACTCATTTTTTTTTCTTTTAAAACTAAAAATTTTATTGTCATTGTAACAAAATTGTCATTTCTGTTATACAAAACAAATATGAAGCTAGGTTGGTTCAGTGGTTTCAATCTGACAGCTTTGGCTGACCCAAACATTTGGTAACCCTGAAATTTGTATGTATTAATGAGGTAGATCTTAATAAATGGAAATCTTGTTTAAGTCAGTTTCATTGATGTCATTGTTCATCAGAGTTCACAACATCAAAGTGAATTGGAAATGAAAACCAACATTTCTATACTACTGTTAAATGTACAACGCGAGAGGGAAAACACACACGTGCTAACCAATTAAAAAAATTTAATTTCACAATAAAATAGATATATACAGATTCCCGCTGTTCCTTTTACACGTTTCCAACTATCCTCGGTGATCGGATGTAACAGTAGTCCAGTAGTTAACTCCCGTTGTAACTACCGCCCGACAATTATACTTATCTAACGCGTGCAAATCTTAATCTAACTTAAAACCAGGGCTGTGGAGTCGGAGTCGTGGAGTTTGTGTTTTAGACTCCTTTTTACTTACGAACTTGTTATGTATATAAAACNTAATTATCTGAGTTAAAAAAAAAGCCAGTTAAAAAAACAATTAGGTCTACTGTAACTGTTCATTGTGGCTATCACTATAAATCGTTATTCTGTAAACAAAAGTATATTTTACGAACAACGTTTTACTTAACACATGGATATTACTGATGAATGACCCACTTAACATTTCAGGATTTGGTCACTTTATTTATGATTAAAGAATGACAACATAAATCATTTATTGTTACTGCCATTTAATAATTTATACAAACATGAAAATTTTAATTATTTTCAATTGTTATAATTTTCAGGTGGTACTTAACTCCCTCCACAAATACAAAACAAAAATCGTAATTGATGAAATACGACCGGGATGTGCTAACAGAGCAGTAGCTACGATTGATTTTCCTATTACTTCATTTTATGCTGTTACTGCATACCAAAGTGATGAGGTAAAAAAACTAATCGGTGAAAACCTAAATACACACATTTTCGAGATGATAAACAATTGCAGTGATTTATAATCTACCTCGCAGCTAAAAGAATTTATACTGTGGCAGAAGAAAAGCATTTCTTGTCAACAGCCACTTGATCAATAAGTATTTACTTTATCATTCTGCGCAATGGCGGATTCAAAAATCTCTTTAGAGGAGGGTGCAGAAATGAACACAGTATACTTCATGTAATTTTTTATTACCTGATGTATTTGACTTTGCTAAAGGGGAGAGAGAGGTGTGCCTTGCATACTCCCGTAAATTCGCCATTGGCTATGCATAAACTTTACTGTTGAAAACATGAAGAAAAAACTATTAGAACATATATCTATATTTCAGTAATTAAGTTAAAAAACTTACTTTACTGTGAGCTCCAAATTGTGTCTATATAGATTTTCACTCCGAGCCTTTGTATGGTAAACTATTTTAAAATTCAATATATATATAATTTTTTTGCTTACAGGTTAAAAAATTAAAAATCAAACATAATCCTCATGCGAAATCCTTCAATGACCCACGAAGAAGGTAATGTTTTTTTACAAGTTTTAAATATAAATTTTAATACAATTTAAAATTTCATTTATAAAGTTTTAATTTTTAATATAATAGAGCCTGGGAAGCCTATTCCTACCAAAATGATACCGGTATGCCATGTAAGTAAAGACTAATATTTCTATTAGGTTTTATTAATTGAGAAATTAATTTAAATATTANCAGAATGGGTAAAGTTTAAGAAACGAAATGTGGCACTGTAGCTTGCGTATAAAGGGACATTAATACTATTAAATTTTGGTTCCTAATTAAAGGTCGACAGGGTGAAGACATAAAAGTGGTCATGTGTCATATCTCTTAAAGTGAATATTTTACTCGTTATTAACGTTCAAAATTTAAAAAAATAAATAAATAAAACTCGTCTCTACTCTCAAAGTAAGCTTTTTTGCCATTTTATAATAGTATAGTAAGACCCGTTAAGATGTTCCGCCTAAAATGTTAGTTAGAATGTATATGGGGACATGATTTAGTTCAACCACTTTGACGCATAATAATTAACTCCTGTGTACTCCGATTCCAACCACTCTGACCACAGAAATTATTAGGCTTCAAACAGAGTGAACAAAATCATGCCCCCACACAGTAACATCCANGCCTAAAATGTTAGAATGTATATGGGGACATGATTTAGTTCAACCACTTTGACGCATAATAACTAACTCCTGTGTACTCCGATTCCAACCACTCTGACCACAGAAATTATTAGGCTTCAAACAGAGTGAACAAAATCATGCCCCCACACAGTAACATCCACACACAGAAAAAAAACCTCGAATCTTTTGCATCTCAAAATTTCAAGGTGTCCTGAGTCCAAAAATGTAAAAATTTGGGTCATTTTATGACCGAGCGCTACACTTTTTCTCTGTTATATACAACAGCCGGAAAAGTAAAAATTATCGAATACATATTTATATATTACTTAGAGGAGTCTTATAGCTTTGGAATAAAAAGGTTTTACGTTCTATCTTTATTAGAACTCTATTTATTGAATCTTATTCTGAGGTCACATGATGACATCAGAATTTCCTGGTCTCTTTCGGTAACAAGTCCGCCCCTGGTCGGAGTCGGATGGTAAGGAAAAGTCGGAGTCGGTAGATTTTTACGCGACTCCACAGCCCTGCTTAAAACTAATAGAGAGAGGATAGGAAGGGAAATGAGAAGGGTTATAGGATAGATGGGTACCCAAAATTCCGGCAATGGTTCTCCACAGTTCCTCATCTCGGTTTCCCAAGCTTATACGTTCTCCTCTTAAAACAAACTGGCCTTTTCTGAGGGTTCGCCTCCAGATCTGTTGATTGGATTCTCTTCACGATCTCTTCCTTAAGGTCCTCTTCTGCAGCGCTCGCCAATCTCCAACTCACGAGTCTGCTGCCACACGTCTGTATTTGTTCGAGTCCGGCACAAGAATGTCAATTGTTTCTCCCCTACCTCTTGGTGGGATAGGGGTAAGTCCTCAGTAAGTCCGAGACAAAAGAACAAAGAAAATTGGAAGGATAATTTTATAGAAATAGAATATAAATTAAACTAAAACTATACAAAATACTGTAATATAAAAAATCAAGGCATACAGCCACACTACACTGCTCAGGCATTTAAAATGAGTAGCAACCTAATTTACAGAAAGCACTACAGAAGTCAGTATAATAGCTTGATGTTTTCTTATTTTGCTTTGAAAGTTATCAATTGGTAGTTTAAGAGATGCATTACATTTTTTTTTATTTTATTAATTTGATAAATCATTAGTAAGATCTTTGTAAGTTATCAAATTAATAAAATAAAGTAATTTATTTCTTTACACACACATTTAATTCGGATGCAAGTTATTGTTATCAGACTCAATCCTCATATATGACATATGAATCATCATATCAAAGGTCAAACCAATCATATCAGACGTCACGTCAAACACCATATCAGTTAGAGATGTGGAGATATGAAAACTCCACGTAGTAATCCTCAAGAATACTGGTAATAATGTACATTTGTTGAAAATTTCCAAGTTTTTGTATTAAGCATACTACGCTATTTTTTTTTTGCTATGTATACTTACAAAAATTAAATATTTAAATTTAAAGTAATAAAATCANAGTAATCCTCAAGAATACTGGTAATAATGTACATTTGTTGAAAATTTCCAAGTTTTTGTATTAAGCATACTACGCTATATTTTTCTTTTGCTATGTATACTTACAAAAATTAAATATTTAAATTTAAAGTAATAAAATCAGAATTTTATGTTTAAAGTTTGGAAAAGATTTAATCTTTGTTGAACACTATTGCATCTGAAGAGTTATAGGACATTCCTTTACAAAAAACTCATGCAGGAATTGATACTTCACAAGATAATTGCTCTAAAGTTGACTCTATTGTCATAGATTTTGATTAATTGTTAGGAGAAATTTCATAATCTAGATAATAGTAATGTATACAGTTTATTTATTAAATAATGTTTAAGTTAGCATTCAGCATCACCCCTTTACTAAATAGGTCAGCAATGTACTTCACATCATGTATTTTTAGTCCTTTTATGGAAATAGAAAAAAAAACAAATTTTAAATACTTTTACAAACGTCGATAAAATTTAAACATCCTAATCATTCAATGTTGCAGGAAGCAAGTTTTTGAGTGCTTTGCCATTTTCCAGGAGCAATTCTTCACATTTTTATATTCATATTTGGATGACCAACAATTTTGGCAAGATGCAAATGGTGCTTGACAGAGATAAATGAAAATTTTAACAAGATTTTATATCAAAAGCATTTTTAAAATCACAGTCCTAACTCTTAACTCTAAATTATTTATTTTTAAATGTCTTTTCAATTTAATTTCTGATAATCCTAGCTGTTGCTTTAATTCTAGTCATCCTATAACAATACAGTATGAGATTGATAAGAGAATCTAGAGTATTTCTCAATAACTTGTTAATAGTAATCCTTCCACAGATGTGGTTTCCCATCTTTTGCAAAAGAAAGAAATCCGGGAAAATTTTCATTTCTAGATTTAGACATCTCCAGGTCACAGGAGGGGTTGGTTATCTCCGTTTTCCACAAATTCGCTTGTAATTTCTGCCACAGCATTCCAACCTCCGCAATACGTTGAGGTTCCAGAACGGGTCGAAACTAAAATTTAATCTTGACAATAGTGTTTCGCTTTTAACATGTAAAGTCGGACCAAAGGTCATGTTACTTTTACTTATGTAAGGGAGAGGAGAGAAAAAAACCTAAAACAAATGCGAAGACAAATGACATAACGGATCAGGTGGAATGTCCGCCGGAGAAGATAAACTCTGACACGAGGTTAAAAAAGTCGAAAAAGGGGAAAGATTTGTCGGTTAGAAAAACATCACGTGCAATAATTAAAATCTAAAAATTGACAGAAATTAGAAACAACGAGCTAAATTATTAGTGCACGGCTTATACAGTACTCATCACTGAACGTAGACCAGACCGCAGTTAACGTGCCATTCATTAGATGGGTTTAAAAAACGCAGCTTTGATTCATTGCGTGAATGTTTTACATAATTTAAAACAAATATACAGTAATTAATCTTTACTTTTGCTAAATATAAACTTGATATCTTGCAATTTTAACAAAATTGAGCCAGTCAAACTTGAGTCACAGGCATCAAAAAAACAGACCGCTGCCTCACCCCTGTCAATGAACATAGACCAGCCGATAATTTGCATTTAAATAATGTTATAATTGCAGTATTTCTGAAACAACTGATTATTTTGGCCTCATTTTAGCTTGCAGTGATCCTGTGAAGTGCTTTTTTAGTTTTATTTACGAACCTTTGCATTTTATCTACAATAGCCAGAGGAAAAGTTGTTTCAGAAGTTTTAAGGAATGCTAAACACAGTCGTGGCATGTCTGAGACAGCTATTAGTAAAGAACTAATGCTAAGCAAGACAACAGCGCACCAGATTACTAGCATCCCCCTTCGCGGCCTCGCCCGCTCTTATATATTCAAGTTGTTCAAGAACAATTTTCCCCGCAGCAAAGCAGAGTTCAGGAGTTTCATCATACCATTTTGATTATTTTACCTCTTTTATATCCAAATACAGTACGCCCCCATAATACGGTACATACGTTGTGTTTTATGAAGTTCATGTTATACGAGTCCTTAAATACATAAGCCCGGCACATGTGCAGTTTACGGACTACGGCTGTTTGAAAGGTTTTTTTCCATAAAATTAATCGATTCTAGACTAATTCGACTCAACATTTCCAAAGAACATAATTTTTTGGGAATAATCCGTATAAACTATGCTATAAACAAAAAATTGTAGGATTACTTACTGAGTGTGCACCGTTCGACGACGCCACTGCTTAAGCTTGTTTTCGTCGCGGAACGGCGCATCGAACGGCGGGCGTGTTTCCTGATAAATTATTTTTCTGCGAAAAAT